AATTGACTAAAATAAGACTTTAAATACAAAAATGCAAGGCTTTATATGAATCTTTTCTTGATTTCAAGTAAATTCTATTATTTTTCGCATCTTTGAATTTGTATTTTCTTGAGCATCTTATGGATTGCATTAGTACTATTCCTTATTTTTCCTAAGCTCGTCTTTGATAATGTAAGCAATGGACTTGGTTGGCGTGTGGCTAGTGATATTTATGTGGCCATTTACTACTTTTGGTGGGGTTTTTTTACATTTATTTTTCTTTCAATCACCTTGATCTGACTTCCTATCTTTATGTTGTCTTAAGTGCACGACATGTGCATGATTGGCTTTGTTGATAGCTAACTTGAGTCATCCTTCTTTGTGTTGTTCTAGTGGGGCACTCTTTTGGTGTGAGAGAATTTGAGGTACTTTTCTTTGTTAGCTTGTGTTGCATTTCGTTGGGGAAAATTTTGGAAATTATATATCGTAAGGTTTTCCTTTATATTCCCATTTCGTCCTTCTTTCAATAGTGACATTGTTTCAACAAATTGTATCGATCCTATGATTTGACTATGTTGCTTCACATTTTTGAAGTAACACCTCTTTAGGCATGGCGGCTTGGGGCTCCTCAGGATAGCCAACTGATTGGATCATGTTGGAATTGGATAGACATTACAAATTTATTCTAGGAGTTATTTGTATATTATTCAGTATTTATCTTTTTAATAATTTTCTTTAACTTTTTAGGACTTATTTATCTTTTTGATTATGTATTTGTTTTAGGATTTTGTATTTCCCATATATAGGGGATAGGTGCTTGTTTGAGGTAGACTGGAATTGTTGAATTATTGAGAATTTTTCTCTTGCTCTAATTTTTTTCTCATCTCTTGCGTCTCTGATTTCTCATCCCTTTCTCTCCTTTTTTTATCCCCTAATTTTTTTCTTTTCTTTTCTATCTATATCAATTTGGTATCAGAGCCTAATTTCGCTCCTAATCAGACAATTCATAGCATGATTAGTGTTCATTGTTCATCAACCATACTATCATTGTTCATCGTTGGTTGTCATTGCTTGTTGGTGTTTTGTGGTGTGTTTGTCAAGTAGCTAATTTGAGCCATCATTGTTACTATTCTTGTGGGTTTGCCGAGTTACGATAGGACTGCGAACAGTTTCCTAAGAAGAAGGGGGTTTATGAGGTCTTCATTTCTGAGTTAATCTTCACCTAAATTCGACTGGGATTCAAATCAATTGTAGAAAGGGTTAGAACAGTACTTTGCTGAAGACGACAACTTTGTTGAGTATCCTTTGCTCAAAGTTGCTTCCATAGTTTCATCGCTTTGTCGTCGTCGACTCCATCTTGCAGGATCAGCATCCTTGTTCCCATCAATATCTATTATCACTGTGAATCACAGTCACAATCAGAGACTGCTTTAGCCGCTGAAAAGTCCCTTTCGTCAGCGTATCATAAGAAAGAGATTAGAGTAGTGGATAAAATATTATAGTATTCTCAATTATTCTCATCTTCAGACAATCTCATACCCATTGTACTCTTTTGATACTTTAATATAAAATTAGAGTATGAAGAAAGAGAATAATGTCGGCATTATAGTAGTTGGTTGAGAAATTTTATATGATAGTGAATTGCAGGCAAATGACTTCTAGAGTTAAAGAGACATATTCCTACAAGACAATTCCTTTCGAGAGATCGAGTGATGTTTGCCAGTCAACTGTTAGAGATAACAATATTTCTAATTATGACCATAATTCCAATAAAAGAGTTCAAATGACCAAGAAAAAAGAATACAATTTTTGCAGTTCTCATCTAAATAAATAGGTCACCTACAAGTATCATGATTATTTGAGTGTGGTCCGTATTATTTCTGCTTGTTTTTCTAATCCCAATGTGACAATGGATCTTGATAGGACAGTCTCACATAAAGAGGATGCTACTCATATTAACTAACAACCATCTCATCCAGTTTCATTGGATCAAAGTCCTCTTCCTTTGCATCAACTAGAGTCAATCCTTAAAAAAAGTGAGTTTGAGCTTTTGTGAGTCAAATGTTGCTACACCACTTGTCATTGAAATTGTTGTAAAGTCGGTTGAATTCACACTTACGCAAAATGTTGAGCATTTCGAGCTACCTATTTCACAATCTGTAGGTGATTATTTTGTCTACTAGTTCGAGTCAGCATGACTTTGTTCCCGAGTCTTCCCCACTTGAGATTGTTGACTTTGTTTCGGATGCTTTCCCATCTGAGATTATTGACATTGTTCCGAATTCTATTCCACTCGAGATTGTTGACTTTGTTCCTCTGCCTATTGTCAAGTGTTCACTTGAGTTTATACTTGATTATTTTCAACACCAAGGTGTTTTTTTTGCTCCTTTCTCTGGAGGAGAGTTTTTCTCAATCGAAGGAGGGGTCGTGTTGGAGTTGGATAGATATTACAGATATATTTTGAGTTATTTGGATATTATTTAGTATTTTAACTTTTTAGTATTTTCCTTAAATTTTTAAGGACTTGTTTGTCATTTTGATTATGTATTTATTTTAAGGTTTTGTATTCCCTATATACAGGCGTAAGGTGCTTGTTTGAGATAGACCAGAATTATTGAATTATTAAGAATATTTCTCTTGCTCTAATATTTTTCTCATCTCTTTCTTCTCTGGTTCCTCATCCTTTTTCTTCTTCTCTTCTCATCCCCTAATTCTTTTCCTTCTTAATCTACATCACCAACACACTAGGGAGTGCATCAACTTGCCTCACCACATTGTATCCTTTTCCATTTCACAAGGATTTACTGGTTTAATGCTTTACTTGCAAGAAAGGTCTCTCTATTAAACCTATTATAGTCATCCCCTAACCACGTTCCCAACATAGGCATTGAGAGCAAGCCCTAGGATACCCTATAACTCAGGCTTTTGGATCATAGTTATCAAATTGTATATCGGAAGGCGTATCGTTTTTTAAAAATAGTGTGTCGTATCGTGTATCGTAAGATACGGTGTAATTTTAAATAAATAATAATAAAATATATATACCTTTGAAAAAAAATCATAGATTCATAAAGACATAGCATTTCATTAATACTCCACTAACTATTCAATTCATCAACATAGTTCACTAATATTATAATACAAAGTTCCCACCATAGTTCACTAATTCAAACTTCAAACACCCAAGAGAATTCAAAACTAGTGATGCCACTGCTTCAAAAAATTAACATGATTCAGAAATTTTGATACAAAAAAACACAAAAAAAAAAATTGGCTTTGTAAGTAAATTAATAGAATTTCTTACACAGGTTTCGTTGGAGTAGTTGGAGAAGGAAGAAGAAGGCAGCTACAGCTGTAGATCCCGATCCAGAGGCAGCGACTAGCTTGACTACTTCGATGGCTTCTCAGATTTGCTACCTTCGTCATGAAGAACAGAGAGAAGACAGAGAAGACGGAGGCTAGGCTTCGAGACACTGGCCTTCGTCGTCATCAAGAATAGAGAGAAGACAAGGAGGGGCTAGGGTTCATCGTTGTGAAGAACAGAGAAAAAAGAGAGACTTGGGGCCTTGGGCTGCTGTGTTTCGTCATCGAAGGCTACTGTGCTTCGTCGTCGTTAAGTCCGAAGAACACCCAGAGTCGAACACAACAAACAACAAAGAATGGAGAGGAAAAGAGGGATTTTACTTTTTTTTTAAACCCTAGCCACCGAAACGACGTCGTTTCAGTGGCTATAGGGATAAAAAAAAACCAGTCTCTAACACAAAAACGATGTCGTTCCATAAAAAATAAAATAAAAAAATTAAATAGCCTTTGCGCGTATCGTACCGATATGTATCGTATCGTGTATCAGACGATACAACACAAAAACGATACAAAACTACAATTCATATCGTTTTTCCTTTGTATCGGAACGTATCGTACAATTCTAACAACTATGGTTCCGATCATTAACTCTGCCCCGCATGGCAATTCTGTGGCTCAATCTTTGAAAAAAGGAAAGATGTGGCAAGGTGGTTTGGACTGGGGGTTTACAAGATGCTATAGCCAACCCGCGGCCTAGTACTTTGACACATCTATGAAATGAGAGATTTTTAAAAGATTTTGGACACTTGTGAACCTCAGTATTTCCATGTCAGCTTGCCCCAAAAGGGTGTTCGACCCACTTACTTAAGTGATTTATTCCACTTTCCAATCCTCTAACTCAGCGTGGTCAACAGGTTTAGTGATTCATACTCACTTGCTTTAACAGGGTATGCAGAAGAGGACGATTTAGATCATCTTGGAGTCATTCTTTAATCACCATTCTTTTGATTAGAACATAAATTATCCATTCTCTTTCTCCACTGACTACTATAATACTGAGATACTTAAACCCAGAATATTGAAGAGCAGCACTCAAAGCATCTTGAGCCCAATTTTTAAACCCGATCTTTTTGTTCGACTATTGATTATCCTTTTCCTTACCTGTGCGCAAAACCAGGTTTGGGATTCTTGACCAAGCCTTTTCTTGGAGACCACAAGAATACTGCATCATTCCTCTTTCTCATGTTTGATCCCTCTTTTGGGTCTCATCCTAGAACACTTCCCTTTGTTGAACATCCATGCAAGGTCTGATCCCTACGAGAGATTTTAAGCGCCTCTACAATTTGTTTCTTATTTGATGTTAGTTTGAGTGCCAACATCTTAGCTAAATTTTTGTTTTCTTGTTTCAAGGAGTTAAAAGCATACTTTCAGATATTTAGTTTTGTTACATGTGCACTGTAATTGTAGTCCAAGATTCTTATTTGCTGGACATCTTATGTTTTTCAGATCTTATATGAATTTCTTAGTTGTGTAGAGTAGCCTAAGTAGTTAATAAGTCAATTTTGAATTTTTGGAATCTTAGTCTAGTAGGAGAAGTTGAGCAATGTAATCTCTGCAATTCAATAAAGTTGATTTTATGACATTAATTTGTGTTTCACACTTTTACGTAGCCCTTGCTGGGATGATGCTTGATTCTTCTTCTTCTTTTGTATAATGCAATGGCCAATTGTCCCATTATTGCTGTGGTAGTTATTGTCTTGACCGTGTTTCTCATTCCGTGGTTTTTTGAGTTAGTTTTTTAGTTTTCCCATCTGACGGCTCTCTTGCCTACCTTTTTCCTTTCAGATTAATCGAACCTAAGGCGGTGGTGTTTGAATGTGGTCTGAATTGTGTCTGTGGACCTGATTGCGTCAACCGGACATCACAGGGAGAGCTAAAGTACCGACTTGAGGTTCTGTGACCATAGCCAATTAACTAGTTGCCATTGTTTGGCCTTAAATGTATCAATGATTTTTTTTTTCTTGTATCTGTCTCTTTCTCAATTTTCTGTTTTCAACAGGTTTTTCGTACTCCAAAGAAAGGTTGGGCTGTTAGATCTTGGGATTATATACCTTCCGGAGCTCCTGTTTGTGAATACGTAGGAGAACTTATGAAGACAGATGACATCGACACTGCTACTGAAAATAATTATATTTTTGACATTGATTGCCTACAAACAATGAAGGGGCTTGATGGGAGAGAGGTATAGATATAGCAACTCTTAAGTAATTTTCCTGGATTTTTGGTTTTTCTTTTGTCATTGTTTGAATCAACGGTGGTATGCATCTTCTCTTTGATGTTCGATATCCACCAAGTCTTCTGAATTTCCGGGTTATCATCGATTTTTTGCTTCACATATTGTTTCCATATTTACTAGTGAATGTGTTCGCACCTTTGACCTTTTCTTAAAAAAATCTATTAAGAGGTCATGATTTGTAAAGTCATCTGGAAAATTCCAAAGATGTGATAATTCTTTCACCTGTGGATAATGCAGTAGAATCTCTTCAATTCCTGATGGTGGTGTGCATCCTTTTGCCTTGATGTTTGTTACAGCATATCTTTACCTTTCTTAGGTGCCTTGTGCAGGGTCATCGTGCCATAGACCGGAACATATTTAAACCTCTGTATGTTTGAGGTAAAAAATAATAGCATGTGGAAATCTTGAATATGCATATGGTTGTGAGCGTTGATGCAACTCAATGTAGTATTGTGTCCAAAGGTTCATCCAACTCATTTTCTACATTAAGGGTTCCTTAGGTTTATTTTAAATGTTACAACTTACATCAACTCTTTTTCGGCTCACCTTTCCTGTTCCTTTTTCATCCAACGCATTTGATTGTTTATGAATATGATCCCTAACTTTTACATGGGTTATGTCTTTACAGAACATGCCAACTAGACAAATGGATCGTTGTAGGGGACCTTAAGTAGTAAAAATTGAGACTTGTTGAATGGGATTCAATTCAATTATCTTGGCCCTGTTTTATGTATTTACTGATTTTTTCTTATGAATAGAGACGCATGCGAGATGTATCTTTGCCAACATATTTGGAAAGAGATGATAAGACATCTGACAGCGTGCCAGAATTCTGCATTGATGCGGGTTCCACCGGAAATGTTGCCAGGTTTATCAATCATAGCTGTCAACCAAACCTTTTTGTGCAATGTGTCTTGAGCACCCACCATGATATTAAACTAGCTCGGGTGATGCTAGTTGCTGCGGACAATATACCGCCACTAAAGGTTGTTTGTTCCCTCCCAGCTTTCTCTATCTTTGTGCACGTGTTTATATGTTTTCGTATATTTCTAAATCCATCCATAAGAACTTGTTGAGTCGATCATTGCTTGGTGTAATGGTGAAAGCTTTGATTTTATATTTGGGGAGGGTTGATTCAATTCTAAGCCTAACTACTTTTTGCAAATAAGTAGTTAAAGCATATGGGATAATTTTTCGTTCTATCACATGCTAATTTTGATGAAAATGCTTTTACTAATTTTTTACATGCTTCGCCTTTTCCAGTGAACAGGCACATAGTTTTTGATTCAGCGCTGTGTAATTTTTGGTGCATAGCACAATAACTGCTTTTTCTGAGTTCGACTTAATCTTCTCTACAAGCATCTATTAAAGTTCTTCGATCCGAAGTAGTTACTTATATCCTTTCTTTTGAATTTTGTTACTCTTAGGAGCTTTCGTACGACTATGGCTATGCACTTGATAGTGTCATGGATCCTGATGGTAGGATAAGGCAAATGACATGCTATTGTGGTGCACCAGGTTGTCGGAAGCGCTTGTTCTAGATTGTGTTTGCTCTTTGTGCCAAGCGCTACTCTGCGCAACACTTCTTTTGGGCCAATTTTTGGTGAATCTGAGGTTGCAAGTTCTTAATGCTGTTATTTTCATGTTTTCACAGTCAACTGCTGTAGTCTCTTAGGCCTTGACTACATTGTTTCTCTGTGACTTTAACTGGAGAGGGCGAGAAAAAGTGGATTTGTACAAATGATTCTATGTATAGGCCCATATTTCAATGAAGAATTGATATGCTCATCCATATGATGAAATTTAGTTGTGCATACATACCGTTGAAGGCATTTGTATGTATAAGTCAGCATTCTCGGCTTAGAAGATCACTCTCAAAAAATAGATTAAAAATATATATGGTGGGACTTCTAAATCACCCATGAATTCAAGTTTGCTGCCAATTTTTATACTACTGGTCACTGGGGAGTTGGACTCACATACATTGTTAGGAACGTTCTCCATTTTGTCTGTCTGTGGGTGAAACAACTACTAACAATAGGGTGAGCGAGTTTAGGCAGTGAATCTAGCATTTTCCAAACAAGGTGAATTCATAGAGTAATGACAACATTTGGTCATTGTAAAGACGTGGTATTCATGAACCTGGATAGACTGAACACCTCTTGTTAATGGAATGCGACTAAACCATCTCCTCTTATAACAATTTATTGTCTCCGACCAATTGTATACGCCCTATTTCTTTAGTGACAGAAGGAGCATAGTGTGAAGTTGAGCATGGTGAATGGCTTTCGAAGTTTAGTGGAGTGGATAACTCAAAAGTTGGATTCAAGAATGCTAGAGCCTCTCTGCAACAACAATTTCAATATGAGGAATTTTTTTTTTTTTTTAACTCAATCAGTTAAATTACTATCCAAAAAAAAGATCGATCTTAAATCAATTGTTTTTATTCTCCCTAGATTGAGTTATAATTTATCTTAGTTTTTTACAACTTCGAATGTGATATTGAAAAATGGATTTTTGGTACTATAGTCAAATTTGTTTTATTATTTGAATAATCAATGGTTAAAAATGAATCAACCACCGATCTATGGTCAGAAAACATTTATCGGTATCATGTAAAAAAAATTTAGTACAGTAGCCTTGTGTACATCCTTGTTTAGAAATATGTAGTCTAAGTGTCTAATAAGTTAACACTATAAATGGGATAAACTTTTAATTGTTTCAATTTACCCTTTTAACTATCTAATTTATTTCAATCAATCCTTTATGTTGAGATTAATTGATAATTGAGATAAATTAATTGTTAAATTGTAATATAATTTGTCTCATTTTAACGGATAATATTAAAAAAATCTGTGTTAATTATCTGTTAATTTTAATGGAAAGTGTCCATGGCAACAAATTATATAGCTTAGATGACAAATTGAAATAATTGCAAATTGAGGGGACAATTTAAAACAAATGTCATCGGTTAAAGGGTGGGTGTTTATAACATTTGCCCTTACCACTACCAACCCAATTTTGGTAGCCGAAATGAGTTGACTGTCTCTTCACTCAACAAATGAGGGTTTAATTATAGATGTCATTGTTTATTTGTGTTTGGCGTAAAAAAATTTAGTCACTCCAGGCAGTGATGTAATAGTAATATGTACACATACACATGCTACTCCCTACTAGTGTAGTGAGTCTACTACTAGTTCCGTAACGGCAATTTGTGTTTCCTATGAAATGAAACTGAATATGAATCTGAATATAATCACAAATGCCCTCCAAAACCATAACACTTATTTTATGGGAAGAGGCAGAGGCACTCACTCGTACCTTGCTGCCGTAAATTTGGTGGATGCCCGAATCATCAAAACAGGTTTCGACCCAAACACATGCCGCTCCAACTTCCTGTTAAATAATTTGCTCCGAAAAGGCCACGTATGCCAGGCACGTCAACTGTTCGAACAAATGCCTCACAAAAACACGTGTTCAATAAACACGTTGATTTCGGGTTACGCAAAAGGGGGCAATCTTGCTTCTGCTAGAGAGTTGTTTGACAGCATGATTGACCGAACAGCGGTCTCCTGGACGATTATAATTGGTGGGTATTCGCAGCATAATCAACCCATGGAAGCTTTTGAGTTTTATTCTGAGATGTGTAGGTCCGGGACAATGCCGGATTCTGTGACTTTTGCGACTCTCTTATCTGGTTTTGATGACACAGTGACAGCCAGAGAAGTTGTTCAAGTTCATGTGCATATCATCAAGTTGGGATTTGACTCCACCCTTATTGTTTGCAACAGCTTGATTGATTCTTATTGCAAAACTCGGTGTCTTGAGTTAGCGTTTAAGCTCTTCAAGGAAATTCCCACAAGAGATTCGGTGACTTTCAACGCAATGATAACAGGGTATTCAAAAGATGGATTGAATGCAGAAGCACTAGAACTTTTTATGGATATGCAACAGTGGGGTTTAAACCCTTCCGATTTCACTTTTGCAGCGGTTTTATGTGCCAGTGTCGGTTTAGACGATATCCCCCTTGGGCAACAAGTTCATGGGCTCATCGTTAAGGCCAACTTTGTTTGGAATGCGTTTGTGGGCAATGCCTTACTTGACTTTTACTCAAAGCATGATTGCATAGATGACGCAAGGAAACTTTTTGATGAGATGCCAGAGTTGGATGGTGTTTCTTACAATGTGATGATTACAGGATACGCTTGGAATGAGCAACACAATGAATCCCTCAATCTCTTCCGTGAATTGCAGTTCACTAAGTTTGAACGAAAGCAGTTCCCTTATGCTACAATGCTGAGTACAGCTGCAAATATGCTTGACTTGGACATGGGAAAGCAAATCCATGGCCAGGCGTTGGTGACACAAGCTGAGTCAGAAGTTCTAGTGGGAAATGCGCTGGTTGACATGTATGCCAAATGCGGCAGATTTGAGGAAGCAAATATGATTTTTGCAAGTCTGGCACACAAAAGCTCAGTTCCATGGACAGCCATGATCTCAGCTTATGTCCAACACAGACTCCATGAAGAAGCCCTTGAACTGTACAATAAGATGCGTAGATCCAGTGTTCCGGGTGACCAGGCGACTTTTGCCAGCACATTAAGCGCTTCTGCAAATTTGGCTTTGCTTTCACTGGGGACACAATTGCACTCATCTTTAATCAGATCAGGATTCATCTCAAATGTTTTTTGTGGTAGCGCACTTCTGGACGTGTATGCAAAATGTGGCTCCATAAAGGATGCAATTCGAATTTTCCAGCAGATGCCTCATAGGAATATTGTGTCTTGGAATGCTATGATCTCTGCTTATGCTCAAAATGGTGATGGTGAAGCCACTCTTCGGTCATTCAAAGAGATGATTCAGTCAGGTCTTCAGCCAGATTCAGTAAGCTTCCTCAGCCTTCTGACTGCCTGTAGCCATCGTGGGCTTGTTGAAGGAGGATTGTGGTGCTTCAATTCGATGATTCAGACCTATAGACTTGTTCCAAAAAGAGAACACTATGCATCTATAGTTGATGTGCTGTGTCGAAGTGGAAGATTCAATGAAGCAGAGAAATTAATGGCTCAAATGCCATTTGAGCCAGACGAGATTATGTGGTCATCAATTTTAAACTCATGTAGGATTCATAAGAATCAAGACCTTGCCAAAAGGGCCGCAGACGAACTCTTCCATATGGATGTGCTTAGAGATGCTGCTCCTTATATCAACATGTCTAATATCTATGCAGCAGCGGGCCAATGGGCTGATGTCGGGAAGGTGAAGAAGGCGATGAGAGAACGAGGAGTTAGGAAAGTGCCTGCATATAGTTGGGTTGAAATTAAACATAAGGTTCATGTATTCACGGCGAACGATAGGACCCATCCACAAATCAAGGAAATAACAATAAAACTAGATTCCTTGGGGAAGCGGATGGAGGAGGAAGGGTACAAGCCTGATACAAGTTGTGCTCTTCACAATGTGGATGAAGAAATCAAAATAGAGTCTCTCAAATATCACAGTGAGCGGTTAGCTATTGCCTTTGCACTGATGAGTGCACCGGAAGGGTCACCGATACTGGTTATGAAGAACCTTCGAGCTTGCACAGACTGCCATGCTGCAATAAAGGTGATTTCAAAAATTGTTGCAAGGGAAATTACAGTTAGGGATTCAAGCAGGTTCCATCATTTTATAAATGGGGTTTGCTCCTGTGGCGATTATTGGTAACAAATGGACCCAAAAAGGAGCAAGCTTTTCCTTCAGCTGACCGACAATTTTCATGGCTCAACTCGAGCTGAATTTTTGTCTAAATGCAACTACTTAGGTTGCTTATGGTTCCTTCGCATCTGACACTTCTAAAAGCATTATTTGAGGTGAGATTCTGAGCGCCCAAGGGAATGGCCAAAAGTTTGGAATTGCTTTGGAGACTGAAGATATTATATAAATCAAGGGCCACTTACCCTGGAATGAGTTGCTTGTGTAGTAGTATTACGGAAGTGTTTATTTATACCAGTGATTGACACAAAAACAAAAAATATAGACCGACTGGCTCAATTATTGTAGGCAGTAAGTACGACCAGGGCCAATGGTTAGACTGGTCTAAACATTTTTTTCGCCTAGGTAGGTAATGTAATTTAATCAGTCATGTGCATGGAAAGAAAACTTGTATTCTGTTTCTTTCTCCGAGACTGTCCTACACACAACGACAGCATTTGGACTGTCAAGCACTTACTACTATTCTAGCCTTGTGCTGTGCGTGTTGTTCGTCACCAATGTGCTCTAAATTTCTCCTTCTATTGAGGAGATTAGCCAAAGGCTAGGTCAACAATATCTGTTCTGCTTCTGCAGTTGCACCACCCCTGATTTTATTCTACATTTCTTGTTTCTTTCCCTCCTGTCCTGTCCTGTCCTGGGTTTTCCATGTGCATTAGAGCGATGCTCCCAAAGAGTAAATTTAGAAGGAAAATGAATAAATAAAACACTTTAAGAAAGCAAAATTAAGCTACTAATTAAAATGGCAATCCTATTCCTAGCTACGCATTTGGATTTGGAGGGAATTCAAGATTTTTAAAGCTAGTGAATCCTCCGTCCACAACTAGGTTATGACCAGTCACATATTTAGCTTCATCCGATGCCAAATACAAGGCAGCCCGGGCCACATCGAACTCTTCACACTTGGCCCCCTTCAGTGCACCCCACCCATTCACAATCTCCACAATTTGTTCTTCGGTAGCACCACCCAATAATCCTGCTAGCTGCTCCACCACGAGTGGCGTTGGAATTGGAGCAGGTGAAATGCAGTTGATCCTCACTCCATGTCTACATAGCTCGCTGCCCACAGACTTCACAATCCCTGGTATGGCAAATTTTGATACAGTATACAGATGAGAACCAAGCCCACCCAGGAGCCCACTTATACTAGCAGTGCATAGAATTGAGCCCGACCCTGCAGGGATCATAACCCGGGCCGCGTGTTTAATCCCTGCCATCATTCCCCGAACGTTGATCCGCATAACCCGGTCAAACTCATCTAGGTTAACATCAGCAATGCTGGGTGGAACAGCAGCGCCTACAATTCCGGCATTGTTGTACATGATATCCAGTTTTCCATAGCGTGCTACTGTAATATTTACAGCTTCAGCTAATTCGGACTCAATGGCAACATTGCATTGGACAAAGTGAGCTTCAGAGCCCAGGCCTTTGGCGACTTGCGGCCCAAGTTGGGAATCAATATCAGCAATCACGACTTGCGCCCCATGTTGGATGAACTCAATGGCCGTGGCCTTACCAAGCCCACTTGCACCCCCTGTTATTAGGGCCACCATGCCTTCTAGCCTGGTTAATTATAATAATAATCAGATTAAATGAACTCCTAGAAATTTGGTGGCAAATCTAGTCATCTTCAAATAAACTTGGGTTGGGTTGGGTTGGGTTGTCTCTAAGGCACAAAAGATCACCAACCTCATTAGGATGGATTTAGTTTTCTTAATGAATGACAATGTTTGCCCTATCAGCCACTTGTTTTTCATACAACACCAAGGACATAACAACAGCTAAATTATTTTACTTGGTTTATTATTTATGTTTCTAGATCTGCTGTGCTTTTATGTCATTAATTCAGAAGGATGTAGCTTAAAGATATATCAATTGATTTATGGGTGTCGGATTTTACAAGACACTGAACCTTGAAAAGCTTAATGTAAAAATATAATATAATAAAACACTATGCAAATGTATTGTATTTTAAAAAAACGAAGGATACATCTGATGATCTAGCGAAAATCTCAACTAGACAAAAAAAAAGGTTTGTTTTCCTCGAAGTTGGGCCCGAAACCAAGGAAAAATAGCGGTAACCATCTACATTAAGGCGTAGCAGCCAGCAATGGAGATCCTATGCAGCGATAAAAAGAATTGAAAAAAATGTGGCTTTGTTGTACTTCCAAACACATCAAATTAACACGAGAATTTTCACTTTTTTAACTTTCTTTCTTCTCCACGAGGTACGGTTACATGATGAAATTTGAATCCTACTCTCTCTTCCTCAATAACTAGTAGAAAGGTTACTTAAGAGTACTCCAGTTAACCAATTCTCATTATATATAGTGAGAGATCGCGCGCTACATTAGATGCACAGCAAAAATTAAAGCAATGCACAGAAGAAACACAGAGATGATGATCAGGAGCTTAATTATTACCTTTTACCACCTGCACTCGTCGACAAGTATTTGACGCCGCCCGCGCATCGGAATAAACCATCGGAGATCAACTTGACTTCTCTGCAGAAAGTAGAAACCCAAAACACCATGCATGTACTATCATAATCATAGCCCACCTCCATTGTTATTATCTATTAACTAGATTTAGAAGCAAGGTAATTAAAGGTTTAAGATGATGTCCATACCCGATCAGCAATCGGAGCATATTGTTGTTAGGCGTTGAAACAAGATCGATCGCCCAGCTGTGGGACAGACACAGACGGAACCGCTGGATCTGTGGCTCTGCTGTACTGATCAGCTGCTTACAATTGCAGTACCATTTATATATACATATACACACACACTACTATTTATTGGAAGGAAGTGGGAGAGAGAGAGAAAGAGAGAGGAGGGAATTTAATGGAAGGAAGTAGAAACGTTTCAAGCAATATTGCTGGACACGCATCTCCATGCAAAAAGAGAGACAGAAGCCGGCTTGAAAATGCAAAGTGGCTCTCACACCACCACCCACTATCAGGCTCGAGAAATTTTTCAGTGGTTTAAGATATTATATTAAGTGTCATGTGGTGTACAGAATAAAAAGTTATCACTAATCATCTTATTAAATTTATTTTAAAAGAATTTAACTATGTGTCCTATAAATTTTTTTTGTGATAACTTTTCATTAGGGGTGGCTAGGTGTGCACCACTGCCACGTGGTGCGTAAAATCGACTGAAATTTTTCTCGGCTGGCTCAGCTACGGATTCTGACCCCACAACATTGATTGGTAAACGGAACGGAAGGAGAGGAGACTATAGTGTAGTGCTGTCGTAATGGTAGGCAGGTCCACCGGGGTTCAGCCATGTTTGTGGTTGTGGGGTGCGGTTTATTACAATTATTTTAATTAATTCAATAATAGAATAAAGAGTTAAATTCTTTTTAACTTTAATTTTTTTTAAATAAAAATAAATCTTTTATTCTGTTTTTGTTTGTATTTTTTTTTTCCGTGGGCCTTCTGACATGCGATACATTACTAGGCTAACATCAACATCACAATATGAGTACAGCTGTCTACTTTGGATCTACATTAACTACTTTGATATTGACACTAAGCTTCTCAATTTTCATAGGTACGTATTTTGTCATCTGAGACTTATCCTTGCAACTCTCACATTAAGGTCGTTTTCTGTATAAGTTACATAAGTCCTCAAATTGCCAATATTACCCATCAAGTTGGAAGTCAATTATACAATTTTTCCAACTTACCGCCCATTATAATTCTATGACTAAATTACACTGAAACTTCTTGATTATATAAAAATAATACTATCACTTAACATTTACAGAACAACACATAAACCCCAATCCAAACAGCTGACTTTCGCAACAGCAAAGCACATTGGCAGAGCATAAGGCAACTAATTATACCATTGCTCGAGAGAAGCTTTCATTTGTGCATATTCAAACTTTATAGTGCAGGGGTGGAACTTGGAAGGAAAAGGTGGAGACCCTTGCAAATGTGGGGGATAACTCAGAAAGAAAGGCTAACTGAGGCGGCTAAATCTCGTAATATACGTACAGATGCGTGTTTTGTCAAGTCTGAATTTGATGGTAAGTTCACATGTCAATAATAAACTAATATTTTGTACAAATATAGAGTCTATTCGATGTGAATTCTTGAAAGTCGCCTCTCAATAATAAATAATTGAGTGAGAATAGAAAATCTATTAGGTAGATGATCTTTCATATCAAAATTAATTATAAAGTATCCAATGACAACTATGTAGATATATTAACAAGACCTAATCCAATATATATCATTAAGCAGATCATATCTATTTTTATACATTGGAGGGTGAAGGGGTACTTGCTACAAGTGTTGAATATGCAATGCAAATTTGGAGAGACAGAGTGATGAATCCGGTATTCAGCAGATGCTAAATAGTACATATAATTAAAATCTGTGCAAGGAAAGGGCAGCCGTGCTTTCTTTCTTTCTTTCTTTTCCACTTAAAAACTAAGTCAACTACAACAACTTGTTAATTGATGTTTTGTTTCATCTCATAAATAATCTGAATTCACTTGCCTATTAATCCAAAAGAATATGAATTCAAGAATCATGTTCGTTGCCAGCCTAGCCTGGCCCTGCACTTACATAATGTTGCTGGGGGAGAGGGGGAGGAGACGTGATCAGTGACTTGGTACGTATTTGTTCCCCACATGATCCGTCATTTGGATATATTCTACAAATCTGTCAATACCTACCGAACAATATTTATAGTTTATGAATTAATGAGAAGAACATGCGAATGGTTGGTTATGAGTAAATATGTTCTGGAGGGGTGGAGGTAGATCCCAGATGCCGTGGGATGCTAGCTGCTCTTTTACACTAGCTAGTGATCAGGTTAAATCTTGCAAGCTTTAAAAACGTCATTTAAACTGATATCTTTACCGATAAAATATTAGTTTTTTTTTTTAAATAACGTCTTTACATAAAAATGTCAATTCAACTAACTTAATCATTGTGAATTGCAATGCAAACGTAAATGGAACTGACGGTTACATGCACAAATGACGTTTTATAGAAAACGTTAGTATAAATGACGTTTATGTAAAACGTCAATTGTGCTAATGTTTTATGTATTTAAATATATTTTTCTTTTTTCATTCCATCAAAGTAATTTTTCAAAATAACAAAAAATTCGAATGTTAATATTTCAAAAATTATATTTAATTATTTCAAAATAACATTCAAACATTCAAACATAACATTTTGATCAATAATGTGATTGATGTTGATAATAATGTCTATTAAAATAAAGTGGATTGTATGTAAAAATCTAACTTATTCATAATCAAAAAAATATTTATGTCATGACGCTTTCTAGTGCAATTGATGGGATAAAAGTATGTCAATAATGTGGTTTATATTCAAAACAATATAGAAGATTATTGAGTACATATAAATTTGATAGAATAAAAGTGTTTGACGCATTATCGTATCTAAATAAAAAAAATCAAAAAGTTTAGGATCGAAAACAAGTAACGAATCCTCTAAAATTTTAATTTTGGCATATTTAGGATCAAAATGCTCAGTTTTTGCATACTCGGTTGCATGCAAATGATCAAGTCGAGGCTACATTTGATCATTTTCACTTTCAAGTCTTATTATAATGTCGTCATAATTGTTTGAATTTTGTGGATCAAAAATATTAGCTGAACGTGCTTTCGGTACCGTAAGTTCATGTCAACGACAAAATACTTCAAGATCGTAACGTTTGTCATATAACTGTCGTTATTTTAGTGTGAGTTCAATATGAGCACCCAAAGACAGATAATCAGTCTATAACGCCCTAAAACACACCCTGTACGACATTACATTCTAAAATCATTCATATCATGAGAGCACTAATATAATCCCTTAAGAAACAAGACTTCATTTGTCATCCACGAATATTTACAACATTATCCAAAAGAATAAGCCCAAGTCATGGCTATTACATCTCAAAAATTAATTAAAGAAGCGCAGCGGAATAAACAAAAGAAGATAGACTATACAATGTTCCAAAAGAATATCCTAGTCTAATACAAAAGGAAAAGAGGTCGCTCTATGCGCCCACCTCAAGATCCACACTCCCGTCCAGTGGAGTCTCCCAAGTAGCGGGCTCCTCGACCCTTACGTCCTCCTCTTCAAGCAGGTAATCTGAAAAATGTTAACGATAGGGGGTGAGCACGAAGCTCTGTAGAAAAATTCTCCCAAACCCATACAAGGTTTAGAAAAACATTTAAAGCGGTCGGTCTCAATTTTAACATAACATAGATACATAATTTGAAATAAAGCAGTGACATTTAAAAAAGATCTTAAGTTTATTTAAAAACTTTACTTAAATGAATAAACGAGCACCACATACAAATAATAACCATTAATTGTCATAACCAATTCTCAACAATTCTTTCGGTAGGTGGCATACTTTGTGGTAACCTCCACCCCCCTTTAGGTCACCTTTGATTCTCAAGCATCCTTAACGAAAACCTCTTGAAAATGGATGAGCATCCTTACATAGAATCTCTCACCAATCACTACATTATTTCTCAAGCATCCTTACTGAGAACCTCTTGGGAAGGGTGAGCATCCTTACAAGGAACCTCTCACTCATGTGCATCACAAATAACCCGACCAAGCATATAATTCTAACATTTATCTCAATTTACAAGCATCTATCCAAAATTTCTAAAATATATCATATAACAATTCCACAACCAACTAAGAAAATACATGAGATCACAATAACATCATTTTTCTACCCAACACAAAGCACTAAGATTTTGAAATCTATAATAAAGAAAGTATTTAGGAAGAAAATACATCACTCTCCAAAATTAGGGTTTTAAAACTATAATGGAGATTTCATGGGTATTAAACCCTACTTTGTTCGAAACATATAATCCTTGTAAAAAGCCTAAGAGAGGATGATTTCATAGCATATATATACTATTGATAGCCAAAACATACATATATAAATACCCTAGCCTCAATGTAAGTGAATGAGAGAAAACCCCTATCTTGAATCCTTAGCTTTGGAGTGAAGAACAAGAATATTTGATCTTGAATCACCCTTGAATCTCTTGTTTTTCCCTTCCTTTCTTCTTCTCTAATGCTCTCTAGGGTTTCAAGAGGTATGGGAGTGTGAGGGGAGTGAAGGAAATTGGAGCAAATGAGATGAAAATGAGTTCAAAACATAACTGCCCTGAAAAACACTATTCACAAGTTGTTTTGGGTTTCTCCAAATTTATGGTTTTACTACTAAGAATCTCTAATTTGATCCATATTACTACCCTAAGGTTTGTCGACGTTCCGAATTCATTTTTAATGTTATTTTAACCTAAAAACATTTATTTTTATGATTTATCTCAAAACCCAAGTCATCGTACACCCGAAACACTAAAGTTTTTATTTTACCCATCCGAATCGACTATTAATGAAGTTTTGCGATGTTTGTAAATAAAAGGTGATAAAGGGTGTTTCTTAAAGTCTTTTATACTTATTTGAAGTCTAAAAGTACTCATTATTCTTATATTTTGATTTAGGATGCAAATGAAGACATTAAATGCAAAACAAAGCTAATTGGACTATTTCGACATCGTTTTGTTATCTGAGCATAACTCTCTCATCCAAGCTCCGATTGAGATGATTCAAGATGCTATGGAATGATACGAAAGAGCTCTAAAACTTTCATGTTTTGATTTTTGAGAAATATTGACTAAATCAAGGTCTAAATCGAGCTTGAAGTT